TTTATAAAAAAAAACAATCCATATGTATATGGTGACCATCTATCATTGAAAGCAAGAAGAAAATACTGTTGAATATGGTAGAATGAGGACTCAGTGTGGATTGGTTCTAAACTTCCATGTGCAGTAAGCATCCTCTCTTAGGCTTACATGTTTGACTCACGTTCTTCGATAGACTTTTTAATTTTTTTTCATTACGGTGAGAAGAGAACAAAAATATGTATCAATGGTCATGTACATAAAAGAGGATGGTACACTAGTTTCTCTTCACATTTTTCTTTGTAATTGCATTTATTTGGGCGTACAGGTAGTGTTTTCAATGTTTTTTTTTCATTTCGAACGTCCTTGAGCATTATTCATAAATAACTGATAATGTGCTACTTGTAACGGGTGACCCATAATAAATGGCAGAAATTTCTCTTTTATTTTTCCACCGTCTAATACGTATTATTAAACAACAAAATATACTACAAGATGCAGCGTGAAAAGCTCTACAATTTACACAGTAAAGTTTATTGTGATTGTTCTCAAAATGGACAAAACCTTGAGCGACCTAATGTCGACCGTGCCAATATTGGTCATAGAGAATTTTGTTTTTTATGAAAACGAGAAGTAGACTATTAAGATAAGCTTTACTTTGTAGAGTGTATAGCTTTTCACGCGTCATCTTGTGGTATATTCTGTTTTTGAATAAAACATAACTAGGGACTGTGATATCGAATGCAAATTTCTGCCATTTATTATGAGTCACCCGTTATTTATTTTTGATAATTTACAACATTATGCCATATAAACACACGATAAAAATAAAATTATAATCCATTTAAATGATACAATTGTTAATCAGATTGTAATCAACGTTAACCTCAGCTATCGGTCACACGGCTTCGACTAATTAATCACGCGTTTCGATAGGATATAATTTTATCACCAACAATCTTGTGCATTTCTGTCAATCTATCAAAAATATTGTTTTGATAATTTGATTTCCACTGACAATGGAAGGGTTGAAACTGTTGAGCGAAAAGATTGACTATATTTGGGTCAAAAGAAAGCTTTCAATGAGAAACTAACGAATTTAAAATATGAGCTGCATATGGTGTACCTAGGCAGATAGATGGAGATGAAGATCTCCAATCAAATGATAATAACAATGGTGGCTTTTGCACCAAGCGCAAACGAGAAGAGTTCGATGCGGGTGTGGGTGTGCATGTGAGTTCGAAAATTCTGTTTACCAACTGCCAAACCATCCCAAAAGCATTCCCATACCCACACCCACCTCTAAATTCATGAGAGAAAAACGCAGAACGAAAACCTTGAAAAAGAAAATGTAGAATACAAAAAAAAATGTCTATATAGACTGCGTAATTTTACTTTTCGAATTGGTATCGGTTATAACCAGAATAATTGAAATTCTCTTGTCGTCCTAGTCGTCTATGGTCTATAGTCATTCGTTGTTCACGCGTACTATATATACGGAAGCGTCCAGTTAGGGATATCCCAAGTTAGGGTTCTGGCCCACACCCTCCTTCAATTCTGAGACAATGAGTCCGGCAAGGATCGACTACAGTATTGCCATTCTTGAAATCCTCAATTTATGTTTATTGAGTATTTCATTATGTGCTACAATATGGTCATTAATCAAAGTTCGCAAACTAAACTATCGTCGAACAACAACGCATAAGAAAAACAAAAGAGAAAGACATTTGAAAACATGTTTCGTTTTTTTTTCAAATAGGTTTTGACGATGTTCACATTATTGTCTCATTAGCAGGCATCTATTTGTATTCGATCTTTAGTGCTTTCGCTATTATTAGTAACCTGAGCTCATCAACATGGGTGGCCTATGTTAAAGTAGCAATCATTATTTTAGGTATGATACACTCATGTTAAACTTATGTATTAATATATGTTATGGAAGGATCCGTGAAATACTCTACTGATTTCCCAGTGAAGCTCACTTTCAACTAACTCAATATTGATCCTACTGATTTTATCTATTCTAGAATTCGTCGAAGGTACTGTTCATGCATTGTTTATTCTACTTGCATTGCGCAAACGTTTAAAACGAACACCTAAACCGGAATATCCCGCACGTGAAATGATCACTCTGTTGGTCATGCTTGATCTGAGCCTTTGATTTGAAAAGACAACAACAACGACAAAACACGAAGCGAATCCATTTCAACTAGCCTTTTACCATGTCATTCCATGGTCGATCATTGCTGCAATAGCTACACCACTTCAAATCTTCTTTCGATTTCATGCATCTGTCTGCCTCTCACATGTTTGGGTTAATTTGTACTATTTGCCATCATATCAACCAGTACCTTCACATTCTTTCTAATGCTTCATTTTTTTAACGTCATTGTATTGTATCCTGTGTATATGACATATAGATGCATGCTCAACATACTTATAAGATGAACTTGATTCTAATAGTTGAATATATTGACATCGTCAGTCATTCGAATGCAATTTTATAATCATTTTTCACTAGTCATATGTTGAGGATGGAAGAACTGGTTACAGGAGTGCACATTGTCGGATTGCCATCTACTAACTGGAAATTATCATCAGTGTAATTGAGTTGAGTTACTTTTGTAAAAAAAAAGAAAAAAAGAAGATAAGTGAATATTCGTATTGGTTTCCTCTTTCTTGACCATAGTAAATCTGAAAACCTAACAGAAATGTCTACTATGCATACCAATACTTAAATACCAGTTCAACTGCTTTTCTAATGATGTTAGAACAATCTAATCGCGCAACAAAGCTAGACATTTGATGGTGGAGACGAATTTTGGCTTACACGTTGAGTTACAAATCATTTTTCATATAAATAAATTTTCTACGTCATAACTATGAATCTCATTTTGACAACGATTTTCTTCATCAAACTAAGGATTTGATCCATCAGATATGTATTATAACACAAAAGTTCTACAGACTTACTTTTTTGCCGGTGAGAGTGTGTGTCACGTAAGCAATCGCACTCATATCATCAATCATTTCCTTCCTTAGAATTTTGTTAGGGTGCAAGTGTGGGGTTGGCTGCGGGTATGGAGTGTAGATGTGAGTGTGGATGTAGATGTGGGCGAGTGTAGACAAGGAACACCTCCACACCCATCTGTAATATTACCGCTCAATAAACAAACAAATGAACAGAATAATTGAAAACAACATCTTCTTCAGAATCACAAGTCAATGTTTCATCATCCACAAAATTCTCATCGACTATTTAGAAAAATGCAAATTGAAGCTTCATCATACGCAAAAGTACAAACTTCTATCTCGCTACCAATAAAAACACATTTATTTTTCAACAACAGAAAAAATGTAGAATTCTTTTCCAGCATTGAACAAAACGCAGACTTCAGTTTCATTAGTCACAAAAGTACAAGTTGTACGTTATAGTCGAAAAAAAAATTCTGTTACATCATTAAACATCAATATCGAATATCGAAATTATAAATATTCTTCTTCTCTAGTGAAACAGGTGTTAGCATACCTATCTCTCTTAATACTCTTGTGAATTATCTTATATTCAGTTCACTTGAACAAATTAGGGATATGACCGAGCAGGTTTTGTGCCGACCGATATTGGCTAAAAATTGGTACTGATACCGATTCGACCTCTGAATAGTGCTATTTCATATTGAAAAAACAATTTATTTTTCATTCTAACTGTGTATATTAATAAGAACTGAAAGAATATGTAAGAGTTTTTTTGATAGAGAATACATTCAAATTTCAAAGCTGCTTTCAATTTAGCTGATTTATGATATATGCTTCTTAATGTTTCTCGTTAAGGACTTGATTGGAGATTTATTTTATTTAACCTGTCATTGATAGACTGACTTTGCCATGACAGATGCTTCAAATATTATCTGATTGATCCTGTTATCCTCTTCAATAAAAGTGCACCATTATCAAACATGTCAATGCTTAGATAAGCATATGGTCTTGTCGTATCATATGTAAGCTTTCCTACTCAATATAGTTTATCGGCGAATGTATTAATTTTGAGGCCTTTTTTTTTTAATATATCTTATCTTCGTTCCATTAAATAGTTGATCTTTCCGATAACAATTGACATTGCAATGTACGCGCGGCTATAAGGACAAGCTTCTAATCAATACTGATACTTCTATTTTTCGTTTCTGTTAGAATAAATCGACGTTTTTGTCAAAAGAAATCAAATACTACTTCTAAAATGTTCAATCTCTCCCTTTCCCCCACATTTTATTGTTTAAGATTTGTTGATTGTGCAATCTGGAATCCTCAAATCAATTTTATTTGAGCCGGTTAGCATCTTTTTGAAGTAGTGAACTTTCTTGTCACTTCTTCAGCATAAAAATTAAGGATATAAAGAACTCTACAAAGAGTTTCGTATTGTTGAATGAACTTATTGCAGCACGAACTTGTCCTAAAAATGTCATATGATTTCAATGATGAAAGGAGTGCGCCTTACAGTAGAGCATATGTCTTGAGTCATTGAAAATAATTAATTTACTTTTCTTAGACTAACGATGCTTGTACAAATTCTGTATTTATATATTTTATTGATCACTATTTATTCAATGCCACAATTAAATTTGTACAATACTGATCAACAAACGAACGTAATTATACAACTTCAGCATGATTGCCTTTATTATGAAATTGATGATAAAATTGTTGATTATGGCGTCCCGATGAAATTGATTTATCAAATTATTCCGTATTGTATTCGACCATTTGATAATATAACAAATATAAATATCATTAATGATACTAATGAATTACAAGGTAAGACATTTGAACAATTACAACAATTGAATGTTAGTAGTGACCAGTTACTTTTATGGTCCGCTCCACTTGATGTTGCTGAACGTTATCAAATTTATCTAAATAATCAAAAGATGAATATAAAAACTTTCTCGAATGAAATTTTCTATAATTGTACATGGCCATGGTTTGGTGAATTTTGTCAATATGCTTTTGATTATGATTTAGAATTATCACTTAATCAATTTGTTATGACTATGTTTCAATTGAAAAATAACATTAAATTCAAACAGTTAAATAGATTTACGAATTTATCATGTTATATACATTTGATATGTAATAGAGGACAAGCACCACTTTGTCTTGATTGGCGTGAAATATGTGATGGAAAAGTTGATTGTTTAAATAATGGTGTTGATGAAGAACATTGTTGGCAACTGGAAATTACGGAATGTTCGCAAAATGAATATCGATGCCATAATGGAGCTCATTGTATTCCAGAAAATTTTCTTCATGATGATCCAATCAATCCTGATTGTCTTGATCGATCGGATGAACCACCAATGCAACTCTATCCTGAACTTTGTCCTGCTGATCCAGCATTTCGTTGTGAAGAACATAGATGCATGTATTCAAGAAATGAATTGATGTTTTCATGTGGTGATGGTCAATGTATTGACATAGATAATCAATGTACAAATGAACGATCGATTTCTTATCTTCCGATGTATTTGTTAGTGAATAATTGCATTCGTGCTATGGCTTGTTTAACTCTTAGTAGAAGTCGTTTGGATGACATTCCATGTTATAAAATTTGTACTGAAGTTTCTTGTGCGGACATAGTTAGAGATGAATGTCCGAGTCTTTTTCAATTTCCTCCAATGTATATTTTTTCCAATCATGTATTTTTCGTCTATAAAAACAATCAATCTGATTATAATTCTAAACTTGCTCCGTTACCTGAATTTGTATGCTATGAACAACAATTATGTGAACATTCTCTTCCAACAGTTGAAATTCATTTATTCAATGGTTCGAAATGTATATCCTTCTCAGAATTTGATTTTAATAAGAAACCAATTGTTAGACGTCTTTGGAATGATCTTTTAATGCCGATCAAAGGTTTTTTTCAAGGTTGTTTAACAAATAGAAAATTAACTAATAGAACTCATTGTTTATATTCATCATTATATCGATGCTCTAATAGTTTAACATGTATTTCTAAATATCGTTTACTTGATGGTAATCAAGATTGTTATTTAAATGATGATGAAAATTTTAATAAGAGTTGTTCTCTTGATCAAAAGCATCGTTTCAAATGTTCTATGGAAGATCGTTGTTTATCATGGATATTAGTGCATGATTTTAAAACTGATTGTTTAACAAATGATGATGAAGTATTACCTGACATTGAAAAATCTAAAAAACATATTTCTTTTCAAATAATATGTGATGGTTTTCAAGAATTGTCATTTATTATAATTAATGAAAAATATGAATCGGATGAGACTAATTGTCATTTATGGTCATGCAATAATGTATATACACGTTGTGATGGAATATGGAATTGTTTGGATGGAGCTGATGAAGCTAATTGTTCAATGTCAATTTGTCCACCTTCATATCACATGTGTGTTTCACCAATAACAAATAATTTGACATGTATACCAATCTCAAAGGCAAATGATGGTATTGTAGATTGTTTAGGAGGATCTGATGAACGTCAAATATGTCGAATACATACGCCTCAGTGTAGTTCCTGTCGATTTTTTTGTCGAGATCATACTAATCCGAAACCGATATGTATTCCACCTAATAGACTTTGTAATAAAAAACCAACTTGTTTATTCAATGATGACGAAATATTTTGTTTTGAACGTAATTTAACAATAAATTATTTTTGTGACCATTTATTAGATATAGCTCGTACAGATGTTGAAACATTTCTTTGTGGTTTAACGGATGCATCGAAGAAGTCTATCGTGCATTTCTTACTATATTCCGATGAAATGAATATGACAATTCATGATTCAAGTAATGCATTAGAAGAAAATCGATTTTTATCAAGCAATTATCATATTTTAAAAGATAATAATAACAACGACAATGAAACGCTGAAACTTATTCGAACATGGCGATGTAATCGAGGCCTTCCTATTCGAACTAGGTACGGTAAATTCATATGCTTATGTCCACCCAGTTATTATGGAGATCAATGTCAATATCAAAATCAACGTGTCAGTCTTACTTTGCAGTTACAAGCAGTTGTTGATTTTCGAATGGTATTTATTATTGTTATCATGTTAATCGATGATGAAGGTCAAATTAATTCATATGAACATTTTAATTATCTAGGAATTCGAGATTGTAGTAAAAAATTTAATATATATCTATTATATTCGACTCAACCGAAAGATACTACAAAGAATTATTCTATTCGTATAGATGCATTTACTGCAATATCTTTAGATTATCATGCAAGTTGGTTATTTCCACTTGAATTTTCATTTTTACCTGTTCATCATTCAGCATTGAAATTATTCATTCCAATTTTCAATCCTGAAGTTGCAGAATGCATACTTCAATGTAATCATGGTCAATGTAAAAAGTATGAAAATACGAAAATAGATTTTTGTCAATGTGATCCAGGTTGGTCAGGCTCACAATGTTCTATTAAATATGAAACGTATAATTGTTCATCCGATTCGTTTTACATTGGATCTGGTATATGTATATGCCCACTTGGAAAATATGGTAGACAGTGTTCATTAACACAATCTATTTGTTTCAAAGATATTTGTAAAAATTTTGGACAATGTGTACCATTCGATGAACGTAGCATTAATAATCAATGGTATTGTATTTGTAAAGAAGGTTATTCTGGTAAACAATGCAACATAATTGATAGAAAGATTATAGTCTCTTTTTATGATACCAAGATTCCATTATCATTCCTCATGCATTTTATTTATGCACCAGGCAATAGACATCATGAGCGTACGACGACATTTATAAAAGTTTTATTTGATCAAAATATGGTTACTACATATTCATCGACTATTTTTCATTTGGTTATAATCGAATTTCACAGAAATTACTTTTTGACTACTCTTAAAAAAACAGAAGTTTTATCGAAAAATGATGTTCATATTAATTTAATTGCTTCTCAACAGTGTCGACCTATTGAACATCTATTAAATAATACCATTGTTGAATCACATTTAATACAACGTATTAAGTATTATCAATTACCTTGTCAACAACAATTTGATCTAGTCTGTTTTTACGATAAAATTCACATGTGTCTGTGTGATGAGGAGCGATATGCCAATTGTTTTGAATTTGAACATAATATGACTTATAATTGTCAAGGTATTAATTACTGTCTAAATGATGGTCAATGTTTTCAAGATAATTCTATTTGTCCTACTAAGTATTTATGTGTATGTACGGAATGTTATTATGGTACTCGTTGTCAATTAACAACAAAAGGCACAAGTTTATCACTTGATGTTATTCTTGGAAATTTAATTCGACCTCATGTTGCTTTTATTCAACAGTCAATCGTTATTAAAATTTCTGCAATTATTACTATGATCATGTTTGTATTAGGTATTATGAATGGATTTCTTTCGGTTATGACATTTAGAACTGCAAAAGTCAAACAAGTGAGATGTGGATTTTATCTTTTCGTTTTATCAATTATTTCACCGATTAGTATAAGTATGTTAACTATCAAGTTTTGGTTACTTATTCTTGTTCAAATGTCTATAATTTTTAATCGTTCGTTTTTATTCATTCAATGTATATGTGTAGATATGCTTCTAATGATTTTTCTTCGTCTTTATGATTGGTTAAATGCATGTATTTCATTAGAACGAGCAATAACTATTAGAAAAGGTATTTATTTTCGAAAAGAAAAAGGCAAAGATAAAGCTAAATGGGTAATTATTATACTTTTTATATTAATAATTTCTACAACAATTCATGATCCAATTCATCGACATCTTATAGATGATATAGAAGAACAGCGTACATGGTGTATTGTTAATTATTCTGAATTTCTTCGAATATATAATTTAATTATAGATTTTTGCCACTGTATTATTCCTTTCTCCATTAATGTCATATCGGCTCTTATTATTATCATAACAGTAGCTCGAAAACGTTCAACAACTCAATCCCATCTATCTTACAAACAGCATCTTCACAAACAATTCCATGAACTTAAACATATATTAATCAGTCCTATTATATTTATTATTTTAGCTTTGCCACGTCTCATTATTTCTTTCTTTTCAGGTTGTATGAAATCGATACGTGAACCATATCTATTTCTATTTGGTTTCTATTCATCTTTTATTCCACTTACTCTTGTTTTTATCGTTTTTGTACTACCTTCAAAAACATATAAGAAAGAATTTAATAATTCCATGAATCGTTTTATATTAAGTACTCGACATTTTCTACAGATGAAATAATCAAACATTATCGAAGAATCTACAAGTGTTTTGCTAGTTTATAAAATAAATCATATACTTTATCATATAAATCATTTTCCATAAAATTTCAGGGTGTAGATGTGTGTCTCCATATGCTAAGACTTGAATTTCATATCTCCAAAGAAGGCAAACATCAGTTGGTTTTGACTCAGTCGTATTTGTTCGAATAATTCAAGTTAATAAACAATAATCAAAAACAAAATACATATATCTATACAGAAATTCAAACGAAAGGTTCGAAAGCCAATTTTTGAAAACGATAGATATATAGACATAGGACGATGTCCAAGTACAACAAACAGACTGTAAATCTTACATCATGTCGTATCATAAGATTCTCGAAAGATTGTACAAAAAATCTTATACCACGGGACGATTTTAATATGCATCCGTTCGACCCTTGTCGTCAACACTCAGTGGAGAAATCTGAATGGAGGGATGAGCGTGGGTATGATAAAGAGAAGATAAACGTGTCTGAAATAATTCCACCTGTTTTCGTCGATATAACGATTTTTTTATTCTTTTAAGCGATACGCTTTCTTCAGATGAATTTTTAAAGAAAAATAAAAGATGATATGAAAGAAATGAATTCAGATTGAAAAGATTTTTTTATCGAATTCTTCCATTCGAAGTTCTGTTAGAAAGGAATAGCATTTCTTATGCACTGTACGATTTATATTGCAAGTAATGAACTCTGTCGATGTTATGCATATCAGACTTGTTTTTCACGTGATGAAGAAAAAAATATTATTCATTCTCTGTCGATTTCAAATAAAGAAGAGTGTCTCATTTCTGTTTGATGGCAGCAGTCAAATAGAAAAACTGAGCACATATATGTCAAAAAAAATATTGAATTACTTTACTCTTTAATAGGTATTAATAAGAAGTTCATCTAATACACACATCTATCCATTAAGAGATGAAATGTTAGATCGATTCTGTTCAGAAATCTTGCTTAAAATCCATCGTAAAATTGAATGGTTTACTGTCGAATTATTGTCAATGGAACGTATTTTTGTTGTCGACGATTATTCTAATTTACGTCAACTCAGTTTAGTTAGTATTCAATGGGAAGGACTCAAGGGGGAAAAAGCGAGACTCCAAGAGTGCGTACTCCAACTGTACTCCAGCTGTACTCCAGCTGTACTCCAACTGTACTCCAGCTGTACTCCAACTATACTCCAGCTGTACTCCAACTGTACTCCAGCTGTACTCCAGCTGTACTCCAACTGTACTCCAGCTGTACTCCAGCTGTACTCCAGCTGTACTCCAGCTGTACTCCAACTGTACCCCACTCGTACTCCACCTGTACTCCATCTGTACTCTATCTCTGCTTTTCTGTTACAAACTCTACTGTGGTTCTTGCTTGACAGTATTCAATTAATAGCTTACATTCAGCGGAAGTAACACGAAAGATCTGCAGTTAAGAGAACTGAATATTGTTCTGAGGTTATATTACTGTCTTCAAAACAGTTTAGTGATATTATGTCTAATTGACGTGTACTAGGAAATATCAACTTGAGTCTATTGAATAAAACTCACTTGGAAATAAAGTACGGGTATTACAGGATGCTTTTTGCTCTGTTAACTTCGAAAGACAAGTAAATAATTCAGTTGTCGTTTGTCGCAAATATGGGTGGCACTTTAGCATTAAAATTTGCCTGTTAAAGTGGTTAAACTTTAAATTGCGCCTTAAGGCCCCCCCCCCCCCTCAAAAATCGATCTTAGTCCAGGTACGTTCAAATGAGCTGAAATTCGGAGCATATGTTGGGGCTGAAGTGGGGAGGCTGTGGTAAAATTTTCAGCTCGATACCCTGATGTTTGACAGAGATATGAACCAAACAAGGGTCAAAAATAGCTCATTTTCTGTCCAAGATTTCTCGGTCCGGGCTCTGTCAATATATTTAAATTTTTTTTTTGTTTGAAAGAGCATCTCAGGATGCAGGGCACCACAGAGTCCTTTTTTTTTAAGTCTTACTTTTTTCGCGGAGAAAGGGGCTCGCAAGTTCAATGACTCAAAAAAGGCGCCAAAAATGGGTGTCCAGTCACATAAGTGTCTGTATATATAATAAAAAACAAAGCTTAATTAAAAAAAGGACTCTGTAGTGCCCTGCATCTCGACGCGCTCTTTCAAACAAAAAAAAAATTTAAATATATTGACAGAGCCTGAACCGAGAAATCTTGGACAAAAGATCAAAAAAACCATAAACCGAGAAAAAACGAAAAACATTTTTTGATTTTTCAAAAAACAGCTGGTTTTTCGAATAGGGGTTGACGGAAATCTTGAAAATTTTTGGGGAAAAATGAAGTAACGAGAAAAACAAATTATCGTTTATGAAAGAGCAGATGACGGGCTATCTTCCCATGCATTTATCTCAATTTCGAAATTTTTGACGAAAATTGACTTTTTTTGAGGGGGGGGG